AGAGTCTTAAAGATACCACCAACTAGACTACTAGAATGAATCAGAAAAAAAAGATATTAGGCTAATCTAATATATTAATAGACTAGTTATAGTCCTATATGTACTATTTGAATTGAAAATTTGATAAAAAGGCAGATGAAAAGTCAGGAGTATAATAAAGTATCAAGGTTATGCTATAAAGTAGATGCTAAAGTCTAAGTGAACTCTATAAAGATACAGTAATTTAATGGTTAAGCCCTAACTGCAAGAGTTAGTTTTGCTATAATGATACTTAGATCAACTGTAAAAATAGATATAGAAGGCTCTGAAGGTTTATTTCAAGGATAAATTAGTTTTAAGATTGAGATGATAATCTGGTCATCTGAATATATCCCAATGAGTTAAAACAAATTACAGATTCAGAGGGTTTAAATTGAAATATTCAAACAGAGATATTAAGTATGGCAATTGGTAAGAAATCTTTGAACAGACTCCTTAAATAGGTAATATAAAAAAGTTATATATGTAGCCAATTGTATGCTCTTCTGTAATAGTTTATTGAACCACAATACCAATAAATGATTAATAAAAGTCAAAAGACCAAAAAGATTACTTTAATAACAAAAAAAAAAAGATGAATTGTAATATTTTTTTGTTTTTGCTTTTTTAATTTTTAAATAATTTTTTTTTTTTTAGCTAAATTAGAATAAATCAAAAAACAAAAAACTTAATATTTAATTAAAATTATTTTTTATTTTTATTTTTTTTTAGTATTAAGATGATCTCTTTGGTCTTTTGACTTTTATTAATCACTTATCAGTATTGTGGTTCAATAAATACTACAAGAGAGAGTACAATTGGTTACATGTTTAATTTTCTATATTACCTATTTAAGAAGTTCATTTGAAAGTTTTCTACCAATTACTGTACCTAACATCTCTGCTTGGATATTCTACTTTAAACCCTTTGAATTTGTAACTTGTGTTAACTTACTGGGTTATATCCAGATGCCCAGATCATCATCTTAATCTTAAGACTAATTTATCCTTAAGGTAAACTCCTCAGAGCCTTCTGTACCTATTTTTATAGCTGATTTAGATATTGCTATGGTAGAACCAACACTTGCAATTAGGACTAATCATTAAACTACTATGCCCCTTGTAGAGTTCACTTAGACCCTAGCATCTACTTTACAGCATAACCCAGTACTTTAATATACCTCTGCCTTTTTCTCTGCCTTTTTACCAAACTTTCAATCCAGATAGCCTATATAGAACTACAACTAGTTCATCAATATATTAGGTTGGCATGATATTCTTTTTCTTTGATTTGTTCTAATGGCCTGATTGGTGATACCTTCAAGACTCCCAACTCAGAGGTTCTTGCCTGTTTAGCTACTATAGTTGGGTACTAAACTTTGGTATCCATTTCTCTAAGCTAGTCTTTACAGTAGGACTGTTGAAGATCTAGTTATCTTTCTATTCAAGTCTTCCCAAATAAACTTCTTGTTACCCAATTTCAATAGATTTACATAGCCACAAGGACTTATCTAGTATTTGTATCACTCGATTTGTTGGTTTGCATTTTTCCATATAACTTTAACATTGTACAGATGCCTTATGACTTACCAGTCATGCTGGTGCGACCATCATTACAGATATTCTAACTCAATTGTTAGTAACAGTTGTCATAATATGAATATTATATAAGTAATTATCCAAATTTTCACTGTTGATGGAATTTGAACACCCAACCTACCACTTGGAGGGTTGATAACCTGACCACTTCATTAGGTTATCACACCTTTTAATTATTTTTTTTATTTTATTTACTAATATATTTTTTATTAAGAATTACAAATTATTTAAAACTTTTCAAAATTTTTTAATATTTTTATTTTTTATAAATTTTTATTTAGAAATATTTTTTCTTTTTTTATCTTGATTTATTATTTTATTTGTATTTAATATATTAAATTAATTAAATAAAGTTATTAAAATAAATATGTAAAAAGCAATAATTTTAAAACATTTTAATAATATAAAATAAAAATTTATTAATATAAAATTATTTTAAAAATATTAAAAAAATTTTGAATTTATTTCAAATTTATTGAAATATTTTAAAATTATTTTAAAATTTTTAAATTATTTTAAAAGTATTTTAAAAATTTTAAAATTTTTTAAAATTTTTCTAATTTTTTTGAATATTTTTCTATATATATTTCAATTTTTTTAATTTTATTTATTTTTAAATTATTGCAAAATAACTAAAATTCTTTTAAAATTATTTTATTTATTTTGCAATATTGCAAAATTATTTTATTTTGAACTAATTTTGTATCAATTGCAGTTATTTCGAAAGATTTTCAGTATGCAAAATATTTTACAATATTTTACATATTTATTCTGCTAATATAGTTTAAACTTCATTCTTGTAATATATTTGTAATTAAAATAAATTTTGTAATTTATATTCAGAAAAACTCCTAAAAGTTTTTTTAACAAATTAATAAAGATATAAGCAAAACCTCATCTTAACTTCAAAAAAACCTTCTTCAATTTTGTAACATAATATTTAAAAAAATAGACTATTTAAATATAAACCATATTTGAAAATTACTAAACTAGTATAAAAAGTACAATATGATAAATAAAAAATAATAAAACCAAAAAATCAATATTGTAAAAAATAATATAAAATCAAAGTTCCATACATAGTGATATAACCTTGTAGCAGATAGTAAATACTAGATAATTTTATAAAAAAAAAAAAAAATCCTAGTTAAATATTACGATTTATAATTACGCAGTTTATAATTAACAAACCATATGATAGAAAAGGTGGATCTTGTGCTTAATTACTAAATTATAAATATTAAAGACCCATTGACTGTCGCGAGACATTTCTAATACTTTAAAAAGTTTTTTTGATAACATTACGTTTAAATGCGTGATGAATAAATGCATAGGTAGTGAATTATTCCATTTATACTAAACACGTTTCTAGGAGCGCGTGATACTCTATGCTAAATGCGCGTATCTTCGGATTTTTTTGGATCTTGGGTTCATGTGAACACATTAAAAAAGTTAGTTGCATAGTATTTATATTTCTCGGCGATATGTAAATATGTGAAACCGAATATTGTTTAATTCAACAAGCTTGCATATATTCTTTCGCAAAGCCAAATCAAAGCATGACTAGCCTTTTTTTTCAAAATAATGGATATGCATTTAATGATTACGTGCTTACATTCACATTGTGAGGAAACAACATTCAACTTCTCAACGAGGTTAGATTTGATGCAAATCATTATCTGCAACATACGTATTTCAATGCTAGAAAATTGGAATAGTGAATGATCATTAAAAAGCAGTTGAAGTATTTTTTTTTAGATCAATAAGTTCGACAAAAACTTGATTTTCTAAAATTTAAATTATTCAAAAATGTTAATTAGATGATATCTAATACATATGTGAAACTGCAAGAATGCACAAGGATTCCATTGTTCTTAAATGTCGAGATCTTCTTGTATACAGAAAATTTGTGCAATTTAAATTTAATATAATACAAGTCGATCAACAATATTAAATTCTTTAAGGGATTACAAAAATCATTTAAAGAATAATTATTTTTTGTAAGTATATATTTATCAAATATTTACACTTTGGAAAGTTAAGAACGCGTTGATATCACGATAAAACGTGTGATTTACTCAATAGAGATAGATGTTCAAATAGATATTCAATAACAATAAATAGTGATAAATAGATTCCATATTCGATATTCGATGATAATTCGGTAATAAAATGTAATAAAATGAAGATGTTATAGATAACATAGATACTAGATATACTGATATTACTGTACTAGCAGCTAGAGATACTGATACTACTGTACTAGCAGCTAGAGATACTGATATTAGAGGCATAGAGGTACAGAAAAAAAAACTTTATTGAAATACACGTGTCAAACAAAAGTTATATGCAGAATCATTCGGAATAACTCGTATTGTTCACCGATATCTCGGTGACCCTATTATAAACTAAAATTTACCGCCTAGGTTTAAGATAGAATCTTGGCGTAAAAATTTACTTCCGAGCTCTTTACCATGTCGAACAGTACCATATTGTTATCAGATATTTTTTTTGATATCAGATATGTACACAAGTATGTATGTATATAACATCATACAGTCATAACATAATTACATTTTGAATACTCTAATGGATTTTCCAGAATAATGTCACACGATCATTTCCTCTCTTCCATCTAACAATTTGTTCGCCATATTTATTCCGTGTCACATTCTATCATAACAGATTGTAGAATGAGAATAATTTTCATGCACGTGATTTCTCGGACGATTGAGCAGTAAGACGGTGAGATGCTGCAGAAACAGCGTAAGTAGTCACATGCCCTATTCAGAAATTTATTATTTTACAAGCATTGCATCCATATTGTTCCGTTTGACTCTCATGCTGTAGATATCTTGCAGCAGAAAAAATTATTTAAATTATATATTTATTATATTATTATTTTGTTCCTGTTAATCTTATTGGCTATTGAATAATTAGTGAATGCTTTTGATTTATTTGATTTATTTTGATTTGATGATTGAATCACAATTTGACTTTTTGATGCAGCTGCAATAATGTATTAATTTAGACAAGATTTGTGTTAATCTTTATTAGTCTAAGTATCGCAAGATTGCTGGTTTTTTCTCTGTTCAAAATTTCACTTGACTTTTCATTAATGTACGTACGTAAGTATCCCTATATTCTCTCTTATGTCTTCTAGGTAAACAACTTGAGAAACCTTTCTAGATCCTAAAATAGGAATCTTGCACCCAGGGGCTGTTGGTTTATCAAGTTGTACCAGAACGGTCACAATGTTTTTTTTTTTTTTTTTTTAAAAAAAAAAAAAAAAACATTTTTTAAATATATACACTAAAAAAATTTTTCTTTCTCTCTCTTCTTTTTCTCTCTCTTCAATTTTCATTTCTTCGGTAGACTTCAGAAATGGAATCACAAAACTATGAATTTGGCCAGATGCCGTCGGCACCAATGGTCCCTGTTACAAATTCTCCCACAACGAATACCAGTATAGGTGGTCTAAACCTTACTACAGCACAACAAAGTACTAACGCTGTTTCAATAGACTCTTTGCAGACTCAACCTCAAGTATTGATGCTGGAAAATAATCCGAATCAGATGGTAGTATTAAATACTACAACAACTTCTCACCCACGACCTCCTCAATTATCAACAAGTTTAACTTCTAGTGCCTCGGGAACTATTACTACTTTAAATTCCATAAACGATTCTACTCAAGATATAGCAATGTTGGAACAATTACCAGTTATAGTTATGAACACTACTCCTGCAACTTCAATGGAATCTACAAACTCTCCTCAAATAACAATAAGTAGCGTTTCTTCCAGCGTTTCACTGGACCCTTCTCTGATCCACGACCCTTCAAAAATGATGGTTGCCTCTCAACAAGATCAACAACAAACTCAGTTAACTCTTACTGATGTTTCTCAATCTGCTCCTCAAGTAGTTTTAGCTGCTCCACAAGAACCACAATCTACTGTAGTAAATGTTAATGCTGCTGCTGCTGCTGCTATATATAATCAAATGATTTCTTCCCCTTCTACTACTACTTCTATAATGGATTTAAATAGACAACAACATCAAATAGACCAATCAACTGTTGTAAATCCTTTAACTGCCGCTCAAGCTCATGCTGTTGTACAAGCTGTTGCTTCCGCTCAGGCTCATGCTGCTCAACAAGTTTTGATCCAAAATATTATGTCTACTGAACCTCAACAACAACAAGAACCCCCTATTGATCAAATGATTATAGATACTGATTCATCTGTTAAAGTTCCTGTTGCTGTTGTTGCTTCAGTTGATGCTCAAGTCCAAGCCCAAGTTCAAGCTCAAGTTCAAGCTCAAGTTCAAGCTCAAGTTCAAGCTGCTCATGCTGCTCAAGTTGCCGCTGCTGTAGCTGTTCAACAAGTTGCCCAAGTTCAAGTTATCCAACAACAACAGCCACCACCACCTCAAAATTTATCTAATGATCAAAATCCTTCTGTTGTTTTGGTCATAGAAAATCCGGGTACGAATAATCAAACTACTACAAGTACTGTTCAATCTGTTGTCAGTAATGATCCTATGAATCTTGTGGAAACTATAGCTAATGCTCAAATGGTTGAATCGATGAATTTAGTTGAACAAAACAGGCGTTTGGCCATGGAAATCGCTAATAATAATCAATTGGCCGCTGATGTTAATGCTTCTGCTAATATGATCAGTCAATCGGTAAGCAGTCAAATGTCTATCAGTAATAATCAAACTGAGCAAATTTTATCGTCATCGACCCAACCACCTCCGATGGCCGATCTTTTGAATACTAGTCCTATTGTTACTACTTCTTGGAGTATTGCACCTCCTAATAATGGTTCAAGTATTGTAGTACCTTCAGCAGGTCCAATACATCTTATCAATGTTGGGGAACATATAGTTCACAATACGGTGGTTGTAGATACGAGTATTCTTGGTAATTCTTTACAACCAGCACAAACATTAACATTTGTCGCCGAAAATCCTCAATTGGATATGCAGAATGCAGCTCAAAAATCCTCGGTTGATAACGTTATCGAATCTCCACAAATTCAATCACCTTCGCGTACCGTAACTCCTGACGTACAAGTTTCTCTACCTCAAGATGACCGTTCCAAGAAATCACCTGAAAATGAAGTACAATCTCAAATTGATAATTCTGCTCGTATACCTTCTCCTGTACTTAACGATCAGATTAAATTGGAATTTAATTCCCCTCCCGAACCTTTGGATATTTCGAAAGATAATACTAATATTCAAGATGATCAATTATCTAAAGTTATTTCTCAACCTTCTACAAACATGCAATCTGATATTGATAATGTTGAATCTTCAAAAACTGCTGAGATTATTTCTACTTCAATTAATAAATCTTCTAATTTAGAAGATTTAACTACTGATCAACTTTACGCTAAATTGGGACAATACGAATTTCCTAACTTTTCTAAAGATCAACTTATAGAAAAAGTTAGGTATTACGAACAAAATCCAAAAAATCGTACTTCTGAAAGTAATAAACGTTCTCGTGGTGATTCTATAAAATCTAATTATTCTGATGATATAAGCGGTAAGCGATTCATTACTTTTAAATAAGTAAATATACATACATATTATTGTATGTATTATTGACTCTAATAATTTATAGTTCAAATTTGCATTAATTTTTTAAGATGGGGTTTTTGGTTTTTGTTTATTGCTTATATATCGAAGCTACTTCATTAGATGATAACGATTCACCAATGACTCCAAGTGACAATGCTGAAGATTTAAAACGTGAATCTAATCAATCTGAATCTACAATAGCCGGTAGTTCGCAAGGTTCTCCATCATTAACCTCTGTAAAACCGGAAGGTCAAGATGAAAAATCTGATAGTCATCGATGTATGTGGAGAAGTTGTACAAAAGTACTTGATAGTTTAGAAGCACTAATATCACATGTCGGTGATGCTCATATTGGTAGTGGAAAGGTTAGTATTAATCCTGAAATTTATTTATCTATTTATTTTTTTTTCCTCAAATTTAAATTAATTAATATATATGTATATGTATTTTTATTTTATTTTATTTTATTTTTTTAAGGCTACCTATGCTTGCGATTGGGAAGGATGCTTAAGGGGACAAAAACCGTTCACAAAACGTCATAAGATGTATAATCATTTAAGAACTCATACTGGGGAAAGACCTTTTGTATGTAGTGTAAATGGTTGTGGTAAAAGGTTTTCAAGACCAGATTCTCTAACGACTCACGTAAAGACGCATTCAAATCATCGTCCATACATTTGCTCATTCAAAGGATGTAATAAGGCATATTATCATTCAAGGTCTCTTAGAAAACATGAAAAAACACATGATATACGTGCTGCTCATTCACAGCATTCTTTACCATCAGTTCATTCTTCTGGAATTTCTATTACTAATAATGGAATGCATATAAATTTTACATCACAAAATCGCCTTTATTCATCTTCACAACAACAAACACATCTATTTCAACAAAGATCACCTGGGTTTGATCCTTCTTCAAATCCATTACCTAGTGGTCCTCGTGATATGAGATCTGTACCGCCTCCTCCTCAACCTATTCATACTCATCATCTTCCACCAGTTCATCAACTTCATCCCCCATCGCCCGTTGGTCCATCACCAACATCAAATGTAATATTCATCATTTCATATAAATGTCTAATAAAGAAAGAATTATGTATAATAAAGCTTGAATCA